TCTTTATGGAAACAGACTGCCCCATCTCTCTTCCATGGAGTGGCTAGTGGGTTCAAACCACTGACCTTTTGGTTAGCAGCCACATATCTTAACCACTACGCCACCAGAGCTCCTTCCTTAGCTGATAGCATCTTCCAAAGCCCTGTTTCCAAACAATGTCATATTCACAGTTACTAGGAGTTAAGACTTCACCATATCTTCTGGAAACACAATTCAATCCAAAGCAGAGATACTTGGTGGCGTAGCAGATAAGGCATTTGGCTGCTAACCAGAAGGTCGGCTGTTCAAATCCACCAGTCACTCTGGAGGGAAGATGGGGGAATCTACTTCTGTAAAGATTTGCAGCCTCAGAAACCCAATGGGGGTCTGTATGAGTTGGAATTGACTCGATGGCAGGGGGGGTTTTTTTTTTTTTTTTTTTTTTTTTTTGCTGAGTCTGAAGGAAGTGAGCTGTGACTCCAGCGGTCAGCAGGGAGAAGGCAGAACATAAGGAGGTCCTGACGCTCAGCAGCAAGGGACCTCCTAGGACTTGGCTGCCCCATGCTGCAGAACCAGGAGCCCTACACTGGAAACCCTCTAGGCAGAGGCTTTCAACCTGTAACCCCAAGACATCCTCCACCCACCCCAAACAACCCCCCAGCACACACACTGCCTATGAGTGCCCCTCAGCCCAGCCAGCTTAATAACTGCTCGCATTTTAGGGTACTGTAGTTAGTAAAGGACATTTCCACTTATCTGTATTGTTGAATCCTAATTCTAATCCCACGAGGTAGGCAGTGCCAAGGTCAATATTCCCTTGATGTTGTTGTTAGGTCCTGGTGCTGTTGAGTCGATTTCAACTCATAGACACCCCTGTGACAGAGTAGACCTGCCCCGTAGGGTTTTCTTGGCTGTAACCTTCACGGAAGCAGATCTCCAAGTCTTTCTCCCTCAGAGCTGCTGGTGGGTTCAAACCACCAACTTGTCGGTTAACAACCAAATGCATAACCAATAAGGAGCCACCAGGGCTCCTTATTGCCATGACAGAGATGTGGAAACAGGCTCAAAGAAGCAGTGTGACCCGCCTACCTATCACATAGCTGGTAACTTCAGTCTAGCTCGGCAGCTTCAATCCAGGGCCCTCTCCACTATTCTGTGTTGCCCCCATACTCCCCACACCAGGAAATGGAAACAAAAGCAGCACACTTTAGAGGCTGGAGGTGACACCACCCTGGTTAAGCTGGGCAGAGCTGTGATGTGCCCAACACAAAACCACCCGCTGCTGCAACTCGAATCACACACAATCCCATTCCCCATCAAGGAATCAAAGGGATCCATTACTCATTGCTTCAGTCCTCTGCCCAGAGTGAACCCAGTTACTATAGCAACCTGATGCAATTCTTTATTACAGGGTGGATGGTTTTAATTTTGTATTTGAAGAGTTTGGCCAGGCAGGCACGTTGCCATGGCTTGGCCTGTCAGGCACAATTAGGAGCAGAGGGAACCCCTTGAGCAGCTATTAGGTCTTTCTAATTGACAATGGAAACCTGTGTCTGGAAAAACCTAGGCTTAGCTGCACTGGGAAGGAGGGAAGGGAGGCTCCAGACTCATGCTGCATGGGTACTCTCTCCTGTTCAGAGATTGTTATTACTGTTGTTGGGTACCATTGAGTCACATAGCAACCCCCAGTATAGAGTTGCCCCATAGGGTTTTCTAGGCTGTAATTTTTATGAGAGCAGATTGCCAGGCCTTTCTTCCGTGGAGCTGCTGCGTGTGTTCAAATACCAGCCTTTCGGTTAGTAGCCAAGCACTTAACCATTGCGCCACCAGGGCTTCTTGTTCAGAGATTCCAAACCAAACCAAATTCACTTGGGTTTCCAAGATGGTAAATCTTTTTTTTTTTTTTTTAATTAGGATTTGGGTGAAGATTTACAGAGTAAATTCACTTTTCATACAGCAGTTCACATATACTTTGTCTCATGTCATTGACCAAAATTTACAATGCAGCAGCTCCCCTCCCACTTCCTCCCCATAGTTACCTCCTCCCAGTGTCCATCCCTTCATACTCTTCTGCACCCTGAGCTATCTCCCTGTGCATAAGCAGCCCTTCCTTCTCCCATAATTGTTCTCTCCAGGGCGTGTATCTACTTGAGGTAAATGTTTAACTCACATGCCTGTACTTTGTTTGGCTGGAAACCACAGTTGTGGGTTCAATTCCAGACCTGAAGGGCAGCTAGGGGCCATAGTCTCAGTGGTTACACCAGGCTCCATTGGACCAGCAAACCTGGTCCCCACCTTCTTTTTTTTTTTCTCCAAATGATTTTGAGTTTTGTAACACATTGTTCTCCCTCTTTATGCAGGATCTCCTACATCCCTTCCAAGTGGATGGCAGTGGTAGCTGGGCACCATCTAGTTCTTCTGGTCTCATAGTTGTATAGGTTGCAGATCAGATGGTGTACCAGTCGCTAGGACTGATTGTTTCCCAAGATGGTAAATCTTTATGGAAAGTAAAATCTTTACGAAAGTGGATTGCCCCATATTCCTTCCACAGAACGGCTGGTGGGTTTGAACCACCAATCTCCTGGTTAGTAACCAAATGCCTTAGGCACTGCACCACCAGAGCTCCTTTGTTCAGAGGTTACACCTTCTTAATTAGAGCAGCCTAGGGCTAGTTGCTTCCATCCTTCCCTCTAGTTTTTCGTCAAGACCCTCATCATGAGGGCTGTGCTCAGAGCTGTTTTGTTTAACCCTGAATCTCCAGCCCCCTGGCAGACAGAGGACCTTCAACAAATGCTTGTTGAATGAATGAATGATATTTTGTCATTATGAAGTCCTTTTGCAGCAACATTCTCTGTGGCCCTTGGAACAATCAGTGTGTGGGCTAGAGTCCTGAGCAGGTTGGGCACATGAGAGCTGGGATAGGGCGGACAGCCAGAGCTGTTGGAGGGCCCAGGCCTTCACTCCAGCACAGACAAGGTGATGATGTGGCCATAAGCGCCCCCTTACCTTCTTGGAAGCGAGGCACAAACCTGCCCAGGTAGATCCACATGCCAAACACAGGCCCCAGACCTCAGGCCCTCTAAGGATGACAGCCTGAGGAATGCCCAGCTGGGTGGGATTTTAGAGGCCTCTCATTTCACAGAGGTGGAGACTGAGGCCATGGAGGGGAAGAATGTGAGGTCTCCTCACAGTCATTAAACATGGTGGGACTCCATCGTGACACTTCCCCATATGGGAATCCCAGCTCATAGCAGAGGCTGAGCACACAGCAGGTGCTCAGTAAATGTCTGTTTGAGCTGCCTGGTCCATTCTGGTGGTGTGAATCTTAGCTTCATGGAAGGTTAGGGCTAGAAGGGATCTTAGACATCCTTGATCTCAACCCTCTCATTTTACAGAAAGGCTGAGAGCCTTATCATTAGTAATGCTGAAAGTAGTAACAACTATGACTTACATAGCTCCAGTGGCACAGTGGTTTAGGCCCTCGGCTGCTGACCAAAAGGTTCAAACCCACCAGCTGGTCCACAGAAGAAAGATATGACAGTCTGCTTCTGTAAAGATTCCAGCCCTGGAACCCCTATGGGGCAGCTCTATTCTGTCCTATAAGGTTGCTATGTTGTTGTTGTTGTTATGTGCCGTCAAGTCAGCCCCGACTCATAGCGACCCCTCCTTGGGTTTCCAAGGCAGTATCACTACGGAAGTAGGATTGCCCAACCTTCCTTCCGAGGAGTGGCTGGTGGGTTTGAACCGCCAGCCTTCTGGTTAGCAGTCAAGTGCTTTAGCCACTATGCTACCAGAGCTCCTATGAGTCAGAACTAATTCAATGGCACTGGGAATATTTACTGAGCATTTACTGTGTGCCAGCCAGGATTCTGTGTACTTTTCATATACTAATCCCTTAACAGGAGCTCTGGTAGTATAGTGCCTAAGGCACTTGACTGCTAACCAGAAGGCTGGAGGTTCAGACCCACCAGCCACTCCTCAGAAGGAAGATGGGATAATCTACTTTCGTAGTGATACTGCCCCGGAAACCCAAGGAGGGGTCGCTATGAGTCGGGTCCAACTCGATGGCACATAACAACAACAACAATCCCTTAAAGCCTCATGGCAACCTCTGTATAGCAGATATTATCATTGTTTCCAGGTAAGGAAACTGAGGAACAGAGAGGTTAAGTAACTAGCCCAAGATCACACAGCTAGTAAGTGTCAGGATCAGAATTCAAATCCAGGCACTCAGGCTTCAAAGTTACCACTATTAACAACACCCAGCTGCACTGTCTGAGGACAAAGCTCTGCCAGAAATATTTGCTCGTCTGTACTCTGAGTGGAAAAGTACCTCTGGTGGCACAGTGGTTAAGGCTGGTGGTTTGAACCAACCCACCAGTTGCTCCGTGGGAAAAAGGTGAGGCAGTTTGCTTTCATAAAGATTTATAGCCTTGGAAAACCTCTAGAGAAGTCCTACTCTGTCCTATAGGGTCACTATGCGTTGGAATCAACTCGATGGCTGTAAGTTTGGTTTAGTTTTCTCTGAATGGAGGCAGGAGTCTGTGCCCACCCTTGGGAGCTCACTAATATAGGAGTCAACTTTTTCACCTTTACATCCCCCTCCAGTGCTGTGCTCAGGGCCTGGCCTGTGGCAGGTGCTCAGGAGACACATTTTTAATACAAACATACTATTCTCCCTCTCATCATCATGGAACAGTCAATTTGGGGGCCTGACATCTTTGAGCTGAAAAGGACCTTGGCAAATAGTTTACAGAGGAGGAAACTGAGGCCCAGAGAGTGAAAGTGCCTTAGTCAGGGCCTCACAGCTGAACCTGAGCCTAGGTCTCTTGATCGCTGTCCAGGGCTCTCACAAGATGTCATTAGGGCTCTAAAGAGGGCCTTGAGGTGGATCAGGCTGACTAGAGCCCAGCAGCCTGCTCCATCTTTCCTGCGCCATCCTCCCTGCCCAGCCCATCCTCCTTCACCCCTCCGGTGCATTTCTGTCCTGGCCACACTAACAGGCTCTCTGCTTCCGCCAGCTCTTCGTGATTGACAATGGCGCGGATGACTGGCGGATAGCCATGACCTATGAGCGCATCCTCTACATCAGCCTGGAGATGCTGGTGTGTGCCATCCACCCTATTCCCGGCGAGTATAAGTTCTTCTGGAATGCACGCCTGGCCTTCTCCTATGCGCCTTCACGGACAGAGGCGGATGTGGACATCATTCTGTCCATCCCCATGTTCCTGCGCCTGTATCTGATCGCCCGCGTCATGTTGCTGCACAGCAAGCTCTTCACCGATGCCTCGTCCCGCAGCATTGGGGCCCTCAACAAGATCAATTTCAACACCCGCTTTGTCATGAAGACCCTCATGACCATCTGCCCTGGCACCGTGCTGCTCGTGTTCAGCATCTCGCTGTGGATCATTGCTGCCTGGACTGTCCGGGTCTGTGAAAGGTACTCCTCAGGTCCTAGTCTCCACTCAACCAGGGCTTCTGAGCACAGAACCTGTGCTGGGACGGGGAAGGGAGGAGGAGCAGGGGTGATGTTCTGATGGAGGAGGCAGGCATGTACCCAAACCCCTCAGAGGAGAAAATGGGGCAAGGGGAGGGCTGAGTTAGGGCTGAATAAAAGCTGAGACATTGAAACATTGGAACCAAGGTAAGCTGGGAACAATGCACAAATAACTTTACTGATTTTCTGTTCCTTCTTTGTAAACTAATATATCAAAGACATCTGGTTACATAGGTAAGCCTTATCCAAAGTATAACACTTTGTAATTTCCATACTATCTCTCCCTCTTGGAGAAAAACGATGCTCGTTAACACTTTAAAGGCTCTGAGAAGTCCTGCAGTAATGAAACTGGTTTAATTGTGTTTAGTCTAGATTTCCTCAAAAGTATTTGTTCACAAACCTTTTTGATCATACAACACCTATTGATGCCTCACTCCTCAAATTGTGGCCCATAGCTCGACAGCATCAGCCTCTCTTGGTAACTTGTTAGAATGTCAAATCTCCATCCTTACCCCAGGCTACTGAATCACAATCTATATCTTAACATGTTCTCCCAGTGATGCAGATGCACCTTAAAGTTTGAGAAGTGCTGTATTGATGGACACTTTAGGAAACTTTGTTTCAGGAGGGCCCAACCTGATGATGGCTGGGCAGTGATTCTGAGAAATGGTTAGTGGGAGAGTGGTCAAAAGTGACCCAGGACTCCAGCACATCTGTCAGCCCATTGGCTGCTTCAGGGCCTCAGAACTGCCAGCATCCAGACCCAAGGGTAGAACTGTTGCTGTCTCTTCCTACCACCATCCTCAAGCTGCCCTTTGTGACTTTTCTCCCTTTCCAGCTGGCCCTATGTATTCATTTTAATCTGATTTTATATGTGGAGTTTTAACACCTAGGTTAGAAAACTAAGTTCTGTCCCTAAGTAGCTGTTAAGACCTTGGACAAGTCACTTAACCTCTCTGGGCCTCAATTTCCTCATTGTAAGATCAAGGTCCCTTGAGATCGAATGAAGATAGGTTCACTGGATTATTTTATTCTGTTGGGGAAGTTATTTTTATTATGTTAGGAGGCAGGATCAAGCACTCCATGTAGTCTACACAGATCCTGGTGGTTACCCTTAATTCATCAACACTTAAAATTTTATTGCCAAATCTTCCATGTGTACCAGTGTCCTGGCAGAGATGAAACAAGCAAAAGAAGTCTGGGGAAAGCTTAGCCTAAAAACATCTCACAGGGGGTGCATTGAACCATATTCCCCACCTATTTTGGGATGTTCTGCTTGCAAACATTTCTTTCAGGTTTTTGGCCAGCAGACACGTGGTCAAACTAAGAGGGCATTCTGCAGCAGCAGGACAAGAGCCTCAAAGGATGGCAGGGTCAGTCTCAGAGCCAGGCAGTGTCCAGAGATGTCCCTCCCATTCAGAGCTCTGGGACACACAGTGCCCCCTATTAGAACCCCACCATTATTCAGCAGCTGCCCTCACATCTGTGAGGGACCACACTGCACAGGTGCCTTTTGACCCTTCTTTGACATTCTTTCTGTCTGTAGAAAGCGTGTGCTTCAGTTCCAACCCAAAATTCTTCGTGGTCCTCATAGCTGAACAGCAAGCATCATGCCAGTCACTTTACCTCTCTGTGACTCAGTTTTCTTATCTATAAAATGGGAGTAATAATACCTACCTACTTTGCAGGATTTACTGTTTGATTCAGACAGGTAATGTATGTGAACTATACACTGCAATGTAGTGATAGTGAAAATTGATAACACTGTCTTAATTTTGATAACTTTTGGAAATATTGGGAGCTCTGGTAGTATAGTGTCTAAGGCATTTGACTGCTAACCAAAAGGCTGGTGGTTCAAACCCACCAGCCACTCCTTAGAAGGAAGATTTGAGGTTGCCTTCTTCTATTTAAAAGAGATCAATTCCTACCGTAGGTGGGAATGACCTGTTGTCTTCCTGTCTAATTGACCAAAGCCAAGTTTTCTAACAATAATGACTAAATTTGCTTAGCCCTTTAAGGTGTTTGAAGTTTTTCACATCTCTTGTCTTATGTGACCCTCAGATCAATCCTTTTTGGCACGGATGACCACCCCATTCTGCAGACAAGTAAGAGGCTGATCATAGAACAAAGTACCTGCAAGTGAATTTCACTGTGGTTTATTGAACCTGTCACAAGTGTGGGGGAGTCTATTTTACCCTGGAAAATGAGTGTGTTTCAAAGTACACAGCTTGCAAAGCACTCTGTGGCATTTCATTTAGTATTGAATGACCTTCCATAGTTTCTAGACGAGGCTAGGTGAACCTGCTCCTTAGCAGATCACCAGGCCTCTCTGTCCTCAGGCATAACTCACTAGTCCCAGCTAAAGACCAAGGCGAAGGCACACAAGGGAAACAACAAAATTCTCCTGAAGTTTCCCACTGTTCTTATGAAGAGGACATTTGACCAAAAAGTTTCTGCTTAGATGTAACATGTGGTATATTAAAGTGTAGTGGATGATGTCATCGCTACTGTTTTCTGGGAGCTTACCCTCTGCTAAAGGAGCCCTGGGGGCACAATGATTAAGCCCTCATCTGGTAACTGAAATGTTGGTGGTTTGAACCCACCCAGTGGCCCTTTGGGAGAAAGACTTGGTCAACTGCTCCCATAAAGATTATAGCCAACAAAACTCTATGGGGCAGTTACACTCTGCCACATGGAGTTGGTATGAGTTGAAATCTGCTCACCAGCAGCTAACAACAGCAGCAGCAGCAGCAATGCTGTGCTAGTTCTGTGTGAGATGCTTAGTACATGTTACCTCAGCTTACTCTCACAGTAGAACGAGGATAGAGGGACCTCAGCTGTCCTCATTTTAGAGTTAAGGAAACTGATGCAAAGCAACTTGCCAGCAGACACAGAGCTCTGTGAGTGTGAGGCAGAATTTGAACTTGATTCTGACTGAACTTCCTGTTTTTCCACCAAATCAGGCTGCATCCTGTACTTTAAAGGAACCTGTGGCCTAGTCTTTCTGGGCTGTTTTCTAATCTGAATGTCTCCAAGCCACTGAGACCAACCCTTGGACCCCAGTGTTGCTGTTTTGCCTGACTCAAGGGCTACTTCCTATTAAACTCAAACATATCCATGTGTAGTGGACACTTGTGTGCCACACAGCAGCCCCTCTGGGACCCAGGCACTCATTCCCTCAGCGATGGTTGCTAGACTATCGCAGCTCAAAGCCTATAGTCTGTTAACTGGCTGGAGCTGCCTCTTGAAGTTTCTGCCCCTGCCTGGGGGCAGCTGCATCAAGGACTTTTCAATGTAGGAGTTTAAAGGTCTAGCTCCCTCCCTTTAGTTGGACTCTGTAGGGCATTCCAGCTCCAGAGATCCCTGAGGGCATCATCTGAGCATGCCCCAATAAACTGCAAAAAACAAACTCAGAGTCTCAAAGACACTTTCCCAGGAATCTGTCCAATGGAACTGTGAAAACAGGTACAAGTTAGTATATATTTTCCTAATCAGTCAAAGCATTTCTCTCACAAAGACCAAGCATTTTCTTTTAGAATCAAGCTAAAATGATCTTGTCCTTCCCAAATGTCAAATAATAAGATTGGCAGGGACAGGAATTATTCACCCAAAGACTAGACAGAAACTGGAACCAAAGGATGCTTTGGTGGGGGAACCCAAACATTTGACAAGGGTGAAGGTAGTAGAAAAGATGGCCTTGATTTTCTCCTAGCTTGATCTGATGCTGATTCTGTCACCTTAGGCATCAGAGAGGGTAAGTGACTTGTTCAGGGTCACACAGCCTGGAACGCACAGGTTCTAGAAAGTTCCTACTTGCAAAGGCACTTGACTGCTAACCAAAAGGCTGGTGGTTCAAACCCACCAGCCACTCCTCGGAAGGAAGATAGGGCAATCTACTTCTGTAGTGATACTGCCTCGGAAGCCCAAGGAGGGGTCGCTATGAGTCAGATCCGACTCGATGGCACATAACAACAACAACAACAACTGTGCAGAGCAGAACTCGTACGTATTCCAGGTGGCTTGTATCAGGCAGGGCTTCTCTCTAGCATACACGCACTCATGAAGTTGCTATGGAAGTTCCTGTTTAGAGAGATGCCTTTTTAAAGACACTTCTATTTTAAGAAGCTCTGGTAGTTCAGTGCCTAAGGTATCTGACTGTTAACCAGAAGGTTTGTGGCTCAAACCCACCAGCCACTCTGCAGAAGGAATACTGGGTGATGTACTTCCGTAAAGATTTACTGTCTTAGAAACCCAGTGAGGGTCGCTATGAGTCAGAATCAACTTGATGGCAGTGGGTTTGAGGGTTTTTTTTTTTTTTTTTCATTATTATCGTATCTTGGATTGGCTTTTGTGTGATAAAGATTTTCATATTTCCTCCTTCAAAGGAGGGAGAGGGAATTAGTAATTACCCCCATCAGCTGTGCTATTGGGAGGGCAAGGCAGGCCTGGTTGCCGGGACAGCAGCAACAACAGGAGGCTTGTTTTCCTTGGCCCTTAGTGAGGCATTACATCATGGGTTCCAAGGCCTGACAGTTGTGGCACTCGGCATTCTCTGGGATTCTCCTGGCTGTGTGCCTGCCTCCCACAGGCCTCCCAGAACCATTTGAGGAACCTCCTCATTAAGCACTGTCAAACACCAAGCAGCCTTATAGGCCAGAGAGACGTCTCAAAGCTCAGTCCTAATGGCAACAGGTTGGGGAGGTTGGCTTTCCTGGCACATCCTTAACAACAGTCTGCCAGCTCACATTTGTATGTCTAGCTCCCTGGTAGGAACAACGAGGCCTCCAATACATTAATAACGTATGATGAATCTTGCTGTCCTGAGCCAGGCTTTGTAAATGGCCCTCCCAGCCTCTTTGATGTACACATTCTGCACACGAGATGTTTCCATATCACAAGCCTTCCTTCTAGTTGGTCAACAGCTTACTCTAGATTTCTGGTGA